GTTACAGACAGAAATTGCTCAGAATTGCAGTCTTTCAGCCTGGAGACGTTGAGGCGTTTTAGGACTTTAATTCATTGTGGTCAGCAACACGCATCACCCTTATCACACGAACATCTTGCCTGTCACTCAAACGGACTAAAATGTAGTAGATCAGATACCAATGCTCAGACCATGGGTGCATCCAAGTTGGTTTGTTACCGTTGGGCAGACGGAAGACGGTGTTTGTGATCAGGAGATCATATGTTGCGCACATCCTCAAGAGCAGCTGCCCATTGTTGTAGATGTCAATGCCATGTCTTCCAATAACTCTTTCCCATGAAATATGATCCGCGCCATCTAGGGCGTTAAATTCACCAAGAATTATTAGTTTATCTGACCTTGATACAGAAGTAATAGGGCCTCCAGGTCCTGTTAGACGTTCTATTTTGTTTCCTCCGCGATGCTCATGTTTGCTGAATAGACACTAATGAGAATGGTTTGCTTTTTCTAGGTAATGGTAGCTTCAGCATTATTAATCGATCATTAATTCCCTTTGTTATGTTCTAAAGCTTATCAGCCAGGCTTGTTTGGATAGCGAAACCATCTCCAATGTACTATTTTCATCTGTATTACGTCCAATCCAGAAAAAGGTGTATCTATCTCCAACTTCAATCAACTGGCCCTCGTTGGCTAAGTGCGTTTCACTCAGGGCTGCTTTCTGTCTTGTAGCGAGCATGTTGTCTTGGAATCAAGGCATTTCTTCTCTCTAGTCTATCAGACTCTACACCGTCCAAAAATGTGCGTATGTTCCACGTACCAAGGGTGAGAGAAACCGTAATTACTGGTTTTCTTTGAGTTTCGAAAGAAAGAATGGGATTCACTCTAGCCGCGGTAAGCTGGTCGGAGTTGTTGAAGCAGACTTTTTCTAGGGCACCATTTCCAGCCCCTCCCACAAACTATGGTGGCAAACAGCGTAATCCTAAAGATGTCTGCTTAGTCGCTCAGACGGCTGCCGAAACCCATTTCTGCTTCATGTCAATGGAAGATGAGCCTATGACCTGAGCCACCTTTGTACAGGTCCGTTTCTACGCTGCCAGTACATCCACACCTGCCGCATTGCAGATCCAACATCACCACAGGACATGAGCACGGGTAATGCCATAAATGACTTGCGCGTAACTTGGATTAAAGTGAGGGATAGTTGCGCTGCGTCATCCTCACTCTCTCATCCAGACTTCAATTTGTCCGATGGCAAGACGTAATCTAGACGGCTGGTATTAAGTGGATGACGAAGGAATTCTGTGTGTCTTGCCGTGCTCTTAGCGCTTCACTTCGCTTTGCTGAGTTCGCCTTACTGCCCGTTGACCAGCTGGTGGTTCCTAAGCGCAGTCCACCGGGTACAGTCTTCACATGCTAAGTGTGACAAGCCCTAATTCACCTAGGGTTTGAGACCCGTTGGCTATCCTCAACTTCGTTTAGCCGGCCATTCGAAGCCGGTGCCGTGGTGAGTCCGCAACTCATATTATAACTTATTGGAGCCACAGTTGAGAGTTGAGTGCCAAGTGGGGACCAAAGGTAGACTAGCTACCCCCAGAGGAGTACAACTACTACACCCTCCAGAGGTACTACCCCTAATTGATCACCCCTTACACCACAAATTACGAAGGTGACACACTTGAAAAATGAAAGAATACCATCTAAGGAAGTTAACGAAATAAACTAGGATGGATCTAATTTGTTTTGTATGAGAAACTAACTGACTAAACGGCGAAGGAAGAACTCGAAAAATCTGTATTAGATCATATTTTGAAGCACCTATGCATTTCTTGGATATATTTTAAAGCTATAGTCATATTTGTGAAGGTTTCATTGATGGTCTATAAGATGATTTCTTATTGAAATTAAAGATTATATTATATTAGTATGGCATTTGAACTTTCTTATCTATCTATTTCTCCTTAAGGATTCAAATTATATATATATATATATATATATATATATATATATATATATATATATATATATATATATATATATATATATATTTATATATGTATATATATACATATATACATATATAAATATATATATGTATATATGTATATATATACATATATAAATATATATATATATATATATATATATATATATATATATATATATATATATATATATATATAATAGCTCCAATTTGTTTCCAAATCAAATTTTTATCTATATCGATTACATGTTTACATTTTCATCAAACGTTTCTTTATATTTACTTTCTATATTATGGGTCAGATCATTAGTTTGATGAAACAATTGTACAAAACACATGTCTTAAAGAGCAAAATTATGAACTACATCGGGTTTAGTAGAAATGTGAAGATGGGATTTCAGGGATTGAAAATATTTATTCGTCCAACCCCTAACTTTTATTAATTTGTGGTTATCTTCTTCAAGAAAAAGAAATCAGATGAATCTGATAATGCACATTATTGTCTGCTTTTACCAGTAAACGTTTATTTCCATTTACATATTAAAGAAATGCGTTTCGTGGTTTTCTTGAATAAATATTTATTCGCTTTCATTCAAAATATTATTTTTTATAGTAAGAGTAGTAATAAATGCACGCTTCAGTACCTCTCAGATTAGAACAAAAACATTAAATCTAAACCTGGATATTAGATAGCAAATGATCAGGAATATGTACTGTTTGATCTTTTCATTATTTTGCTGTTGTTAAATTCAAGAACTGTATTGTATAGTTCAATACATCTTTTAAATTATCAAAGCAAGTAGCGAGTGTACAATCGACCGTTGTTACTGCCATCGTCTCTACCTCAATTAGTTCGACGACATTCATTTGTGACGTTTGTATAGCAGTACATTATATGAAATTAATTGTCCACAATCTTTTTCTTACTATTTGCAGCCAACAAAACTGGTCATTGAACACGTGCCCCCGTTATAGTGTTTTCTTAAACACACAGATACATTGTGATTCGATGCATGCTCTTTAACATATTTCCTCAACAATAATAACAAGACGAATTCATTATACTTTTGCAACCCCTACATCATTAGCAGTTTGCACCTTTTCGACAAAAATACGCTAAATTTTATAATGCAAATTACATAAAACTATAATATTTAGAGCGACATATTTATTCTTGCTCCCATCTGTTAACGGATGTTTCGTGCAATTGTCATCATGTTAACATATACTCTTCCCATTCGTAAACAAATTCCTTTAATTCTTTAGTAGTTTCTATTTAAATTTTTTCTGTTGACGAATCGGCTAAATATTATAATGCATATTGCGCATAAGTAAAATATATCGACGGAAAATACAATTTCTTCCGTGTTCCAGATTTCTTTCTATTTTATTACTACTTTGAACTTCCCACTTAATTATTCGAAAAGTTCATAATGTTGAAAGAATACTAAATATATAATTTTACTGATAGTAGCTATTTCTTATGTGCGATGATAACGCTGACATTTAGGAAAACCATATATTGAGCTTCTGACTTTAACCCTTGTCTTGTAATTGTTCATTCCCCGTGCATCTTCTATATGAATTATATCTTACTTTATCCACACCGTTAGCATGGTATAACTGGCTTCAGTTGGAGGTATATCTATAACTCTGACATGACTTTTAAGAGCCATACATTTGGTTTGTTATTTGAGCTTTTAATTTTCGAACTTCATTTGCAGAAGAATATTTCTGCTTTCCTGTCTTGAAGAGTTTATTTTAAACCTTTGCAATACATGTCACTTTAAGTCTGAACACATATTCCATATTTTAAGTGGACACATATTCCATATTTTCTTTCTCTAATAAGTTTATGGCCCTCTTATTTACTAAACTACATTTTCCCTGGTTTACTATTACTGAATATTTCTTTGGAAGAGTAGTGTATGGTATTTCCAATTTTGCATGCTGTATCTTAATCAGCCGTATTTTAGAAGATATGTATCTCTGCCATTAACCTTTTCGAATTAATTCCTATACGTTATTACTGCCTGGATGTGATTACATACATGACTAACATTAAGTCTTCTATTTCTGAAAATCATTTTCCTTTCTTGGGTACTTTGTACGTAGACTATGTTACCAATATAATATATATACGTTCTGGATATCTCGGTCCTTGCTACTCTATTTTCATCTTTTCTAGGTTAATCGAAATCAACACTTACTTAATATTTGTGAAAGTATGTGGACTTTTAGGATCGTAATAAAGAACTCTTATATATTCATATCATGTTGTGTAAACCTATTGTTCATTCATTTATTAAATAGTAGTGGTATGTAAGTGTTATTATTGGTACAATTTTGATGTACCTATTTATAGTCATTATTATTTGTAGTCTTCATTCAGCAATTTTTCGAAAGACCATCTATATCTGGTATGTCAGTCCCTGGGGACAACCTACGTATTATTTGTCTCCATGAACAAGGTTGACATATATATATATATATATATATATATATATATATATATATATATATATATATATATATATATATATATATATATATATATATATATATATATATATATTACAGTTCACAATCAAGAATTGTGCACATTCTCTGTTTCTGTGCATCGCATTCCCTAGGGGTGTTTTCAAGTGTTTTATCTCGCTTCAATTCCTTTTGATGTTGTGATTTTCATTTATCACGTAGCTTTGACATTTTGTCAGTCATTTCGCTATGATGTCTGCGGTGTGGCAGTTTATAGTGTGGCGATGTCAAGCACTGAGGTATCATGACGCAGGCATGTAGCATGATGTCTCACTCAGTCATATTATCCTGACACTAGGCCCTCCAGTCCTATCAATGACCTCTTAATGATGAGCGCCAAGCGAAGCAGCTGTTAGTACCATTTTGTACGTCTTTGGTAGGATGCTCTAAACTCTAGGCCACCGGAGCGGTCTCTCACATAAATTGCATGCGTTTCATACGTTATTGATTCTTTCTGTTTCTAGATATTGGATTTCCATTTCTTGTACACAATTGTTTTACCGCTCCGGTAGCCTAGTGGTTAGAGTGTCCGTCTCGGATGCGTGAAGTCGCGGGTTCGAACCCCAGCCGAGTCATACCAAAGACTTTAAAGAATGGTACTAACAGCTGTCTCGCTTGGCACTCAGCATTAAGAGGTTAGTGGTAGGACTGGTCGGCCTGGTGTCAGGATAATGTGACTGGGTGGGACATCATGCTGCGTGTCTGCAAAATGGATTTCCAGTGCTAGACATCACTGTAAACTGTCACACTGCAAAAATAATAGCGATATGACTGTAAAAATTTTAAAGCTACGTTAAAAATTTTCACACACACAATTGTTTTTATTTTATCCAATCGAATGTACAACATATGAATGCAACCAGTACCATTGTCAATGATTGATTTATTTTAGATTTGTCCTAGATCTGTTTTATAGTTTGTATGAGTGTTATTAAGAATACTGATGGTATACACTTTCCTATACGTAAAGTGAAATTCGTGATATATTTGTCACCGACTTATATACCAATTATCCCCGATTTTATTCCATTAATAGTTTAAACTAGCACTTATCCTTATGTGTTAAGACCCTGAAATTCGTTTTTTTGAAGCAAACAGGAAGTGATACATGCAAAACCAACTTGAAGGAGAGTGCTTACCACCAGCAACGTTGTAAGAATTTATAAACATTATTATTAATCAAATTTATATGAATAACAAATACAGGCTCAAACAGATTGTAATATTCTGATTTTGCTCCATTCATTAATAAGTCATGTGGTGTGCAATTTTAAATTGTTCATATAAACTCATCTTCTTATGTTATATTTGCATCTATCGCTAGCAAAATCAACGTGTAGGTTTGTCTATTCATTGTAAATGTTTAATATAGTACTATAGTCGGTGTGATAGCACACTAGGCGTATAACATTGATCAAATACCTGTATACCAAAATCTGCAGTGACAATTCTTGGCCGGATTATATAGCTATCTTGGGAACTGACAGGAAGACATACGTCGAAAATTATATTGCTTTGATAGTGACGGTAGGCAGGTCGATACTAACAAATACGATACACATGTAGGAACATATATACGAAACCACGTCACTCTTACGACTCCGTTGTCTTAAAATACATAACAGGAGAAAATGAAACCAGCCATAGGAGTACAATTAGTAAACAATTTTTTTTGCCTATAACGCAAAGTATTGTGACATACATACATATAATTATAAATGCCCTATCATATGCCAAAAGAACAAAATGTGTTGAACGAATTCCAATAGTCTTGAATGTTATGGTTTATCATGACGATATAATCCAACAAAATGCATTTGAATGAGTCCACACAGATCTCAAGGTTTTGTTTTATTCTAAAACATCAATGAATACTTTATAATTACAGTTAGCAATTTTAAAAAATAAAAATGATTCCATAGACTGATCGTAAAACAAATGATGTCTTTGTTTTGGAAACCTCATTTATATAAAAAATATTACCGAGCTCATGACGTACAAAAATGTTCTTGACAACTCATCATTTCTAATGCCAAATTTGCCAATTCATACACAAGATCAGGCCATGAACTTAATCTTAATAAATAGCTTTCTTCCACTCATAAATATGACACATATCAGGTAGGCAAAACATTAATACAGTGAATCTAAACCGTCAAACAAAAGACTCAGGACAATAACACATTATAAATTCAATATACATATCATTACCAGAATATTGTAATACACAAGAACATGTATTGCTTGTGAAATATACTCTCTGTTCCATACGATTAGCATATGCCCCGATTTAACTACAGACATGCATAACTTATAGTTGTTTAAATGCATAAGTTTATGATTAGCACATAATTTCGTTAACGGTAAATTCAAATAGCGTTGACGGTGCAATCGACACTGATCATATAACTGTGTGACGCGATCTTGGAAGTGAAGATAAACTTTAGGGAACAAACTTTTTGATAGAGAACATTTCCCCGTAGAAAATAATATCATATTTTAATCACAAACAGCAGAATTGCAAAGGAAATTAATTTAGAAACCATTACAGTTCTACCAACGCATTTATAAAAACATAGTTTGTTAAGTATTATTTTACAGTCCGTGATTTTGATATAGCATATATAATAGTGCCTATCCTGAACACCGGGTGTCTCTACTCGCTCACCGAGAATGGTATGTCATCGTTTGCTCTAAGTCATGTATTCTACTTTTCGTAGGGGATAATGTATCCCAGTCGTCAAATGACAGCTTTCTGCTGTACGAAAGTTTAATTGCTTAGCATCGTAATATACAAAAGAAAGAAAATACAAATATAATTTGTGTTGCGCATCTCATTCTTATTCAAGTATAGCCTCGATCCACTCGATAAACACCTCAAAACCCGGCGTTCAATGAGGAGTGAACCTGAACCTTGGGTGAGATTCGAGATTCAATTTCCAAATAAGGGTGAAATGAAGGACTATAGACATCGAGAGTATAAACTAACTTTCTAGCCAACCTAACTGGTCACCACCTTTGTCTGTAATCCATACAGTACACACGAACTGGTTTTGAAACCCAATGGCTACAGTTAACATTTGCTTAACAGTTCCGTTACAATACAAAATCACATCGTTAGATTTGTATCGGAAAGAAGCAATGCTAGATGAGAACTGCATGTGGTTATGTTGAAAAGTAAACTTCTTTCATGATTCGATTGATTATATTTGATTATATTTCTCTTTTTTATTAGAGAAATAATAGATTATTATGGTGTGCAAAACATAGCTTTACCTACTGAAAACTGCATGTAACTCACGTATCGAATAATACTTTTCTGGTGCGTTGCGTCTGGACATCATTTGTAACAGTTTTCTCAGCTGTAGTTTTGCTTTTACTCGACCATTTAAGTTTTACAGTTTTCGTTAGTTTCATAATTTACCTAATGACGTGATAGGCTATGGACACCCCCACGTTGAGTGATTGAAAATAAAGGATTTAAAGACCCATTTGCATAAATTCATTGTATGTATAGGATGATCAGAATTCTTGACAAATGAGTAACATTACGATAATGGTGCCAGTGTCTTCTTGAAGTAAAATTATCAGCGTGTCAAGATGAGATTCTAATCTTTCTGTACGACGATGCTGGACCTATTCATATTGCAGCTCATGCTTTATTCTCTTCGTTCGATTTGTTCAGGTAATATCTCATACATATTTTCTGATACAGCAAATTATAATATTCAAATTAATTAACATATTTTGTCTTTATTCAACATTTTATGTCGGTTGTTTATCTTGGTAAATGATGAATATTTCTTGGTCTGTCTGTATTTTTAATTTTATGAGAGGATAACTTTGGTTCAACAGCTTGTTTGCAGACATATTTCCCATTACCATTACGTTTGAATACACGATGCGCCCCTACAGATTCTTGTAAATATATGTATATATAAATGAAACTATGTTGACTCCTTATCTTAGGACGGGAATTTAAAAAGTAAAAAGAATTTTAAAAATTGGATGAGCATGTTTACATGCAAGTTTGAACAAAATATACGTAAATGTATTTTAAACATTGGGATTGTGCAGTGAGTTTAGAACTAACGACCACTTGTTTGGCAGCTTTAGTTCCTGTCCTGAGATTTGAATGACAAAAGAAAGTTTCAACATAAAAATAAAAGATAGTAAAATATATACAAAACATGGGATGAGCGGTAATGAAAGAATGTTTGAAAATAAAAACGTAAAACAAGCTTTTAAAATGATTGTAATGCCACCGTGAGTTTAGAGCTTGCGACCTTTCTTTTGGCAGCCGTGTCACGTAGAAAGAAGCAAAGAAAGAACGAAATACAGAATTACAAACGTGGGCGTTTCAGACGTTTAGGTTATAAGATCTATTGTTATGATCCAAAGTCTTTGTGATAACTTTAAAATATACATGGAACTCCTTCATCGTGTTCAATTAATTACAGTTTATAAAACATTTTACATCATAAAATAAGTGTTTAGCTGGTCCTGGTGTTACATATATTAAGTGCAAAACTATAGGTACTGCAAATTTTCTAAAGCAGATGCTTAGTTTCTTTGTCGTATTATTTTCAACGTAAATCAGGGTGGAAAGTGGATAAAATCACATCCTTTTCAATTATGAGCTTTCATAATGCTTTACTGTTTGGGCATGGCGTATTGTTTGTGTGAACCGTAAAATCTATTTCTTCCAGACACTTGGATTGTTGAGTATATTGTAAGATATACTTGCTATGTAATGGTATTTTAAAAAGACAAATCTATACATTTTTTAATGGATCTTTTAGTTTTAACAGAGTCATAAAGACTAATAAATGTGTGACGTTTATTTTCATATACAAACCAAATGATTATATATATTTTATCAAACACTTCAAACGATAAACATTAGAATAATATATATATATATATATATATATATATATATATATATATATATATATATATATATATATATATATATATATATATATATATATATATATATATATATAATTAGAAGTATATATTGCACAGACGTCACACAAACCAATTTAAAGGAAAACCTAGAACATGCACGGAAAAGGTTTTTTATATCAATTTATTATCTTATGTAACTGGAAGTATTGATAAAACGCTATCTCTGATCAATATGGCAATTATAGAAAATACTGCCAAATGAGTCATCAGACGTTTACTAGTATCATTTTGTATAAAAGACCTAAATTTGCCTAAAGTTGAATTTTTATATACAAAGATGCATAATTATTTTCTTCGTATTTCTCCATACATTGGACAAGCAGTAATAAAATGGAAATGGAATTCATTTTCGATGTTAACGTTACAATTCTGACACATTCATTCCTCATAGAAAATAATTTTATCTCTTCCAGTGTTATCTCTGGTTGTCAATCTACCCAATCTATGAATCTATGAATAGTTATTATATAACAAACATCGCTTTCTCCCAACAATTCTACTTCCTATGACCTCTAAAAACGCATTCTTTCCATTGACTTAATTTTATCCTGCAACGTTTTCCTAAAAATATCTTCACATTTCTGGCTGAACAATCTATGAA